TCCTGCTGAGCAGGGCTCACACAGAGCCAAGGACTTCTCTGCTCCTCACGCCACCCACCAGCGAGTAGGCTGGGGGTGCACAAGGAGTTGGGAGGGGACAGAGCCGGGACAGCTGACCCTGAGTGACCGAAGGGATATCCCATACCATATCTCAGCAACAGAACTAGGGGGGAGGTTGGTGGGGGCACTGCTGCTTGAGGACTGGCTGAGCATCGGTCGGTTGGTGGTGGAAAATTGTTTTCATTTGCATCACTTGACTTTCTTGGGTTTTATTTCTCTCTCTTTGTTATTTTCCTTTTCATTACAATTTATTGCTATTATTTATTTCAATTATTAAACTGTCTTTATCTCAACTCATGAGTTTTCTCACATTTACCCTTCCAACTCTCTCCCCCCACCCCGCTGGAGCGGAGCGAGCGAGCGGCTGTGCGGTGCTTAGTTGCTGGCTGGGGTTAAACCACGACAACTGCTTTGCCATAATTTTTCTACATACTGCCAGGAAAATCCTAGCATTTGCCAACAGGAAAATCTTGTTGTGAATCGACTCACAAACACAAGCGGAGTCGAGTCAGATGTGGCTGCAACTGTCCCAGCTGTCTGTACCATCCCTCTCCTGCAAGCTCCTTCAGGAGTTTGCTCTCACAGCAGAGACAGCTGAGCTGAATACGAAGCAGCTCCCAAATGACTGCTGGTGTAACGAGGTAACTCCCGATCAACGCTGGGCTGCTTTGCCATTCTGAGCTACAAACCACAGCAATTCACATGCCGCTTCTCATGTGGCTCACGCATCCCTGTCGCAAAGGGCGGCAACCCCCAGGAAAGGGGCAGGGCAGAGCAGCGGAAGGTGGAAATCATGTTCACCGCCCAACTCTAATCCATTTGTGCTAGTGAGTCAACTCACACGGCCCTTTTGCATCTCAGATCCCCATCTGGGAAACAGGGATGACAACAACACAGCTCTGCCTCAGGTGCAGGAACCTGCAAGAGTAAGCACATAACCCATTAGGAGGCACTCAGCTGCTTGCTACAGGAACAGAGACCCTCCATACGTACGAAAAAAGATGAAGGGTAAAAATAAAGGACAAAGAAGCTATGCCAGATGGCCTTTCCACTTCTGCCAAAATGTCTGCGCAGAATGACCTCTTTTGGGCGTTTTCCCTTAACGTTATTACAAGTACGTAAGAAGTTTGATGTAATCAGGTCTAAAATCCCAGCGGAAGAATAATTGTCCAGGATATTTCAACTGATGCCTGAGTTACTTGACTACACTTACCTAACTGTAAATATTTCTTAGTCTTCAGCTCCAAAAAAACACTCTCTAGAAGCATTGCATCTACCTAAGAATTCAGAAATTAGGCCAGCCCTAGAATTTAATCATGACGAGCATTTTAACATCCTGTCTTTGCTACAGACCGTTTATTGAACTATCTGACAGAGCGGTTAAAACCCTGCAAGAGCTGGGGATGTTAAATAAAAGTATGAATACACTGCCGTGCAGGTAGTAACACACTTGCTATTATGGCTGGAACTGGGTGACATTTTACAGACAATTTGTCCAAGAAAATTTTGATAAAAAAAGCGAACCTATTCATCCAAATTGCTTGTATAAAAACCCTTCTCAAAACCTCCCAAAAGCCAAAATACCTGCAGTATATAAAAGCCACTCCTAAAATACAAATGAGACCATTTTAGTAGTATTTCTTAGCACTGCAAGTTAAGTCTTCGGAAACCGTGCGTGACAACTTTCCCTTCCCCTCTCCTTCACAGACTAGTCTGATGTCAAAACCCCAAATCAAAACTCGATTGGGAAGCTGAAAAGTAACCCAGGCAACAAACAACAACAAATGTTAAATGTACATCCAGCTACACCCTCAGCCACGTCTGCAAAGCGCTTATTCTCACTGCCTGCTCTCGGGGATAAGATATTATCCCTACGTTAGAGATGAGGAAGTGAGGCATGATAAAAACAGCCCACAGCCACAGTAGAGGGCACGGTCAGGACACCCAAATCCCAGGCTGATAACGCTGACTGCAAAGCCTTCCTTCTCTTTGATCTGCTCTCTTCTTGAATGAGTATTTCTTTTAAATATCAGGCCTATCTAACGGCTCATTTGAAAGCATGACTTGGATAGTCTCTTAAGACTACTTAAAAATTAATGAACAAGAATAATAGATATCAGCTAGCACAGGGCAAAGCTTCAGTTTGTTTGTATAAACCCTGGCAGTGAGCGCCTTCTCCCTGCAGTTCAACATCTTGAAGGCCACACGGCAAAAGAATGCACATCCCTTCAGGATAAGAGCAGCACTCCTGCAGGAAACCAGTCAGAAGACATGCAAAAGGACTGACCTTCATCTCCACACACTAGTTTCTTCACCACACAGGGGATCTCTGTGTAGCCAAAGCCTTTCAGCTGCTCCACCTGCTGAGCTGTGATGGGATGTTCCCACATGGCCGTGTTCATAGCTGGGCAGAAGAGCAGAGGTTTGCTCAGATCCCAAGCACGGATGACACAAGTCTGTAAGAGAAGCCAAGAGGTTCAGCTCTGAGATGGGTTGCCTCTCCTTATTCCTTCTTATCCCTTTGCTGCACAGAAGGGCTTTGCCAGCCTGGGTGTCATTAGGGGGGGGCAAAGCCTCAATCTGTCAGTGCAGCTGGACTAACCCATAGGCAGATCCACGGGAGTGCTACTAATTTGTACTACATTCCAGCAAAGCTCATCTCTGACAGGCAAGAAAAATGAGGGAGGCTACAGAGAGGGTAGATCCCATCCTACTCCGGCTTGGGGCCAAGCAAGCAGCCCAATCGCTGGAGCAAACCAAGCTGGAACATCACGCGTGCAGACTGCCAGCCCATGCGGGAGACCGAGAGAAGCTGAGGGGTGGCCACAGATCTTATCAGCAAAAGAGAAATCCCCAGGCAACACTTCAGATAAGGCAGCTGTAGAACTAAACACAGAAAGTTGGCAAGTGAGTCCTTTTTAAACGATATGCCAACTGGATCCTTAACTCCTCACAAGGGAAGTGCCGCCGCTTCCAGGATACAGAGGATAACACAAACACATCTGGGCTGTTGCAGAAGATGCTGGCAGACTACAAACCATCTAGCAGCTCCTGCGTGCTACAGGGAATCATATCTGACTCCTCAGTAATACAGGGGTTCCAGATAACCCAGTATCACCTCACCTCCTTAAAGAGATAAATGCTGGTTGCTCTTAATGCCATGTCCATCACTGTCCCTAGGCCCAGCAGCATTTCAATCGCGCACAGAGAGCGTCCCAGGTAGCAACAGTCCCCAGTGCAGGGTCTCTGCTCAGATCACAAAGTACTTACAAGAATCCTGCCCATCCTTTTTTATGCCCTGTGATTTGAACCCTTCCCAGCACAGGAACGTCTGCTAGAATCTGTTGTAACTTGCCAACCGGCACCGCCAGCACTTGCTTTTCCCTTGCTGGAGGGACCTCTTCCTCTCTGAAAAGACTGGCAGGATCTTTGTGAAACCACGCGTCCCTAACATCCTTCCTGAGCTCTTCCCTCCGCTACCACCATCACATCTATAGTACCATGGGGACCCAGAAGGACAAGACATTGCTTGTCCCTCCCACAGCTCCTCATGGCTTCTCTCTGATCTCCAGTGATCTGTTCGTACAAACGAGGGCTGTCGCTCTGGGTGTATTTTGTTCATTTATATGCCCTCCCTCTTACCCGAACAGCTCCCCAGCCAGAGCTGATGCGCTGCCCTCCATTTCTAGTTCTAGCCTCCTCGCATTACTGAAGGGTGATGCACCACAGCAACATTCACAGATCTGCAGCTTCCTGGCAGATCTTTTGGGTGGTTAATGCTTATGACTTCTCCTAATAAAGACCTAATGCCTGTATACAAAGCATTCAGCCATGCTGAAGGTCCCCATCGCCCAAGAGAAAAGCACACGCTCTTTTAATAGACTTTCTGATCAGCCTTCAAGCCACAGCATCTTTAATACCAGAAAAACAAGCCTGAACAAGCAAAATCCCCCATAGCTGAAACTGGAAGGTAAGTAAGTGTGAGCATGTTTGAATTTCTGTGCTATGCAGTTAGGTGAGGTAGCAGGAAGTAAACAATTTTATCTGATCTCACAGGTGTCTTTCCAGATTGCATCTGAAAAATGCAGAGAGGAACTCAAAAGTGAGTGCAAGTGTGTATGCGCACACGGGTGTGTGTACATGCATGATGGAGAGAGGGTGGAGGTAGAAAGAGAGAAATACCACCCCTCAGAAAAAGCAGGAAAGGCACAAAGCAGGAACTGGGACATAATGGAAGAGACTGACAGAGCCGAGGAGCGGTAAGGGATGTAGGTCAGGGAAGGAAAGAACAACTGTTTGAGAAGGAACAGGGGAACCATACTGGAGGAAGAGAGAGACAACATATGAAGTGGGAGCAGAACATGCAAATCTCACTGTTCTCGATGCTGCAGAAGCACAAGAGTTTACATGAAAGAAAGGTCAGACAGTTTAAAGCTGGGAGGCGAGAGAACTCTCAGGCAGAGCTCCAGTTACTCACCAGCAGGTTGTCACAGATGCCATTCGCGAGCTTTGCCAGCGTGTTTGCATCAAGAGGTGCCACTAACATAAGGTCAGCCCACCGTCTGAGCTCGATGTGCAGGACTGGGTCCGAACGACCTTTCCACATCTGTGGATGAGACAAGACGCAGATTACCGAATGCTCACAATGAATGCTGTGAATAATTGGCACTTTATCTTATCAATCCCACATTAGTAACCACCATGTAAACTTAATGTGAAAGAATTCCTCTCGCATTGAGCAAGATCTGATTGTGTGGGGAACCAGAGACTGCAGCCAGCGCTTACTGTTCCGATTTCCTCCCTCCTCCAGCGAAGGCCATGTGGCAGCTACATTTAGGAAGCACAGTTAACAGACATCACCAATGTGCCTGGGGCTTTACAAATGGGTATCCTTTCGCCACAAAGACAATTCACACGTCCAACCACCACCGATGCCGACCCACAGGAAAGAGCTTTCCCCATCCACACCATCGCTCAGCTTCAGAATTGTTCATGAGAGCTCCCTCAACACTCAGCATGTCTGAGCGGAGAAGAGCGCTCCACCCTACCAGCCAACTGAAGCCAGACAGGACCAAACCAGGGGTCGCATTTCCTGAGGAACCCACGTCGTGTATAAGCTTCACGTTTCTTTGAAGTGAAGCTGTCCGCTGGCTTGTGACGAGGTATAGACCCCTACCTGCACAAGTCACTTTTCAATTAGGACGCACGCCCCTAAGCACACCCACAGCAGCAAAGTAAACCCCCATAATTACAGTAGGGAACAGTCCTGCTGGCTTTCTCTAGGATGGATGAGGTTTAGCCAACTGGGCATTTCCCTCCTCTCTTGGCTCTAAATGAATATTTCCATTTTCAGTAAAGCTCCGAGTCGCTCGAGAGTCCTACTCTTTTTCTTAAGAGCACAGTTAACTGGGAAAGCATCAAGAGAAGCAGCAAACACCATCAGGTGCTTAATCCCCAGAGGACACACACAACCACAGGGCAGCAAGAGGTGTATCAGGGCCACAAACTGTTCCTTCTCTGAGTCACTGGAAACCACAACAAAAAGGCAGCATCCGGAAAGCTGGTGCTCCCTGACACCTTTCCCAGCTCCTCCACTCACTTCTACTTTCCCTAGAAGCACTGAAATTTGTAGTTTTATTTTCAGAGTAAAATATCTCACAAACAAAGGCTGAGCAGGCTTATTTCCCACCCTTCTGTCAGAACGGCATGTTGTAAGGGCTCCACGCCTGCTTTCCGGTGTGCCAGCAGACCTCAAAGCCTGACCCGCTCCTATTCTATCAGCCCACCGAGGGTTCCTCAGATATAACTGCCTGGAGCTGTAGCATCCTGGGACACAGCAGATCTCCACCGATCTCCTAGACCAGCCAGCTTTCTGGCTGGTCTAACGGCTAATTGCCATTAGCATGCCTCTCCCCACAGAAAAGCAATGCCCGTGTGTGAGTGCATTGGCGAGAGTACTGGTAAAGAGTAGACCACCTTGTACTCAGATCGCTACTGCAAAGTAGAGATAAAATGTATAGAAAAGCAAATGTTGATGTTTATACAATGATCCTCTTTGTACTCAGGGACTCTCAAAGCATGTCAGCAAAACCGTAGTCAAGAGAAAAAGCTGTTTTACAGGGTCTAGAGATGTTCACAGCCCTGACAACTGAGTTATCCCTTACTGCAATGGCACTTCTATGTACACGCACGAGCACAGATGCAGACACCTCTAAGATAAACATGACTTCCACCAGGAGAACCTCTCTAAGTTCCAGCCACCTATCACACTGGTGCACGACATCCCCAGATACTGGCCTTGTCTGCATCGCTACACTGGAGTGGCCCTACCAGTACAAGGTTACCCAGTCAGACATTAGACTGAGTTTTAAAGCAGTGTGGGAAGTTCTGTGAATGTCAGCGATGTCTGCAGATTCAGAATACGTAGCGTTAAGGAAAATTAAGCTGTTGCCTTCGTGACAAGTATGACTCATGACAAGCACCAAACACCCTCACCGCGACTCTGCAGTGGCTTTCTTGACATTTCCTGATACTCCTCTCAGAGCTGCAGATAGCAGCTGAGTCCAGAGTGGTGAGAGATCACTTCTACCCTCATTGCCTGCTGCAAGTGTGCTAGGGAGCTACAAAATCCTCCGGTACAGTCAGGACAGCCTTTCTTTTCATCCTCATTTACAGCATGGTTGGAACCGCATTCTTTGAAAGCCATATTCCAAAGCATACATTACTAGAACAAAGAAGAGAGTCTTGGCCCAGGATTAAAAAAAATAAAATAATTAATGTGGTCTCTTGCAAAGAAACTTAGAGGAACACTTCTATTCGCTGTTCAGCACTTGAACAACTAAGTGAATCTCCCAGGGAATCTACTTTCTTTCTGAAGCATCACCCATTGGCCTTCTGGAAGTAGAAGGCACGAGTGCATGACAGAACTACTTGAATTGCAAAACATGTGGCTAGTGGGGACAGGACAGAAGCCCTCGCGGTCTCCAAATGAAGAACAACTTACCTGCCACTCATCTTCATCACTGTAGAGGGTGACAGGAATCTCCTGGGCATTGTAGAAATGCTTTGCTCTCTCAGTAGTGACCACCTTCACTTCGAGCTAATCAGAAAAGAAAGACAGACCGATGGTTAGACTTGAGGGCGATCCTGCAAAGCTTGGTAGGCGAGGAGGGCTCAAGTAACAAAGATTTTGAAAGCTACATGGATTCTCAGAGAACCGTCCCCTATTCACAGTTGAAAGGTCAGGCCACTGCAGGTGTTCACGGGAGCCAAAGACTCATTTCATGCCACCCTTAAACAGGCAGGTGATTAGTCACCGCCTGCCAAACATGTTCACATGGCCAGTTCACAGCGGGGACAGCAGAGAAGACAGAGCAGGTCAGAATGAGATGCAGCTCTGCACAGAACTTCAAAGAGACTGTAAGAAGCAGCAAACCAAAGCTCTGTGAAATATACCCTTTAATCTCAAAATACGCCTGCCAAAGGGAGTAGGAGAGCATCTTGCCTCAGTGGATTCCCTTAACCACAGCACAGAGGACTGCCGAGGGCTGGCATGCCTACACGGCACTTGCAGGATCACTCTTCCCACACTCGGAGCCAAGAGGAAGCTCTCTGCCAAGAGAAAGCGCAGTGCTGAGCGATCAAGAGTCCTGCGGAGGGACAAGTTGACTAGATGGGGCTCAGCACCACCAGCGCAAAGCAAGCCCACCTCTGCTGCACAAGGCTTCACAAGAAAGAGTGGCTTTGGAAGACAGAGTACAATTTTTTGGTCAAATGGACTGCACTGCACACCTCTCTGTCTCTTTCTGCCCCTGCCTCCCTCTCTCTCAATGATCTCCTGGTGCCAAAGGTGGAGAGGTAGCTACAGACTGCTGGATACTACTTTTTAAAACCACGTTAATCAGACTTGCTTCAGCCAGGGGTAAAAACACCAGAAGCAAGTTGGGGTTATGTCTTCCAGCTATCCTTCCTATCAAGATAAGATGTTGGAAAGAGGAAAACCTCTGCATAAGTATGTTCATAGCACAGGGTTTCTGTGCAGCCAAAACAGTAAACCAGTAGCCTCTACAAAGGAAAGAGAGACAGGGTGAAAATATACAAAGGCTCTCTCCAAAATCTTAGATAAACCTGCCTGCCTTGTTGAAAGCCAGTGGAACCTTCAGTTATATGGTATATACTGGGGAAACCCTACTGTTCCCTTGGCCATTTATTTGACATGCACAGTTACAAGGTGTTAAGATGCCCTACAACACAAGATCCTTTTATTTCCTCCTGCAGAAATCTTAACAAGCGGAAAAGGGGGGTTCTCCCTGGGTTCTACGTGTCGCGTGACCTTCTCAAAGCTGTAGCTCCGACAAATGTCGCTAACGGCTGCCTGCCACGTGCAGTGAAGCAGAGGTGCTCTGCACACACCAGGATCAGCCGCAAAGCGGAGCCAGTGTTGGACCCATGCAGCACACGCAACCATATTTCCATCTCCAATTCCTCCCAAGGACGCACCTTAAAACCAGCCAATAGACAGGCCAATGCATGGAGGGAGTGCTCCGAAAAGACTTAATGTGGCAGATGCACCTCAGGCCACCGATTACCATGAAAAATAACCCTTTTCCTCGTTATTGGCCATTTTCAACCACAGTCTGCTCCTTCAAGCAGTCCACTGTGCAACTCTCCACGTCATTCTATGAGCCCAACAGAGAGATGGGGAGAAACCAGCCTCACCAACAACTCCTTCCCGCTAGAAAACTGCGAGCTGATGTACAAAACCGATGAAGCTTTCCGCCTGCGCACTCTTGCTAAAACAGTCTGCCAAAAACCTCCAACCTCCAAGAAGCTATCTTCAACAGTAGCGGTTGAAGTGACAAAACACGTTAACCTATCTCCCCAGCACTATCTATTCAACTGGGAACGGAGCAGTGTTGATTATCTGCACCCTACGTGAGCAGAGTAACAGCTGGGAGCAGTGGAAAATCCCAGCCTGAGCATATAATTGTCTTTGGTAATTCTTCCCATTTCCTGAAGAAAAAGTAAAGGAAAATATAGCTGCATATAACACCAGCGTTTGGTACCATACTTTTGGTTCTTTGCCTCTTCAAAATATCTGCTCTTTTTCAAGCGACCCTAACTTGGAATCACAGCTGCATTTCTAGTGCTTTCATGTGTGAAGATCACATTCACAGCAATCAACCGTATTGTTTTCATATTAACCTCACCTCACAGGAAGCTTTTCGGAGCCAAGCAACGACACCTGCAAAGGTGCTAACTCTGCTCTCTGCTAGCCATGGGCTTCAGTGAGGCGTCAACCTCACAGTCTGCAAGATACCAGGTATTTGGTGATTTTAAAGAGCAACGAGCAGTTTAAAGGGGCATGTCTGCTCCCTGAAATGGTACCAGTAGGCCAGGTCTGCACTAAAAGTTTTCAGCAACAATGTTTGTTAGTGCTATTCTTATTTTACAGTTAGTCATAACAGTATAAAGATTTTCAGGTGATACAACTCCATCTACCCCATGACATATTTTGTCACATGCTACTTCAATTGTGTCGTTATCCAAATTTTTCTAATTTAGACCAGAAATACCCCTTTAAGGCTAAAGGATATAAAAAAATGCCACTCTGTGTTTTTTTTATTTTTTTAAGATAGTTTCATAACGATCTTTGGTCTTAAAACATACTTTTTTCTTCAAAGCCTAAGCCCAGGAACACGGAATAGCTGGCTATCAAGTACTGCATCCAACCCACTACAAGCTAGAGCACACCAGAGGGATATGTTCAAGGACTCCAGCACTCCCCAAGAAACTCTATTAGTTAGAACTCCCTTAGTTAAATATTCTCCCTAATTAAGGTTTTCTGCTGGGGTGGGCTCCTGGATCCCTTGTTCTGAGGAAGTCCTTCATGTCCCTCAAGCTACGTTGGAAAGAGATCAGTGTTCTCAAGATCACTTTAGCCTACATAGTTTTTTCTTTCTATTTACCTGGCACACCCTCTGTTTGCCTGTGGTTATATCTCTGCTTGAACAGTAAAGTCAGTCTAGCCACACTCAAACTCCTTTACTGGAAACAGTTTAGACTAGTTTGAGTTCTTTCATTTGGACCATTTCAGCCAATTCTCCCGAATAAACTTTACTGCAAAACTGCTCTCCTGTGTTTACCCAATATCATGAATATCATCTCTGGAAGAGGATCCTCCTGTCATAGCCATTTCTGCTTGCGGTAAGGGGGGGTGTATGATTTCCGTGTCGTCGTCCCCCCCCCCCCCCCCCCAACACTTTCCCAGATTTGACAGCAAAATCTTTACACACAGACCTAGCTTTGATAACAACTGCTGCAGAAAAGAATGAGCGGGTCCTTTGTTAAATGGGACCTACAAGCCGACGTAGAGGGTAGCTGGCTGCAGCGCAATGAAATGACATGACGTGATTTAAACAGAGAGGTCCAGATGACATCCTGTAGCTTCAAGAGCAATACATTTCACCCACAAAAAAGTTTGTTGTTTCCTATCTTTATGACAAACCAATATTCTGCCAACGTGCTTTTTGTCATCATATTCCCAGCAGGGTACTCAAAAAATCCCAGGAATTGGACAAAGACAACGTCTGTGAGTGTAACACAAACACAAGAGTTACCCACAGTGACCTGATGAGACACTATGCGCTGTCTTCCCACAACACCAGGTGCAAGGGTAATAACCTGAAAGGCATAAGCAGATGCCGTATAAATTTCCTAGATCTTCAAAGAGGTTAAACAAAGGCAGTAAGATGTAGTCACATCCATTATCACCCTCAAGGCGATGTTTAATGAGTGCAAAATCACACTGCCAAGTTGTTCACCGAGCATCATTTTAGCCAAAACATCAATTTAAACTAACCGCTCCGGTTTCAAGCCTCTGACCACATCTCGTTTAGTATCAAAGACTTCCTCCAATTCTGCCCTGCTTCCACCGATGGCTTTTTAAAGTTCTGTTCTATCAGTAAAAGAATTGATGCAACAGGCTTGTGCAGGACTTAACAAACTCGATGGAAAAGTTATACTGACTCAGCAGGCTTTAGATCAGGCCTTGAAATCACATCAGACATGAGTAAATACATAATTTTAATTAACAAATTAAGTACCAGAAGCTCCTGGACTGGATACTTCACTTTCACTTTTTGTGCAACAAAAGCCTAAAGGGGCGCAAAGCCTGCAAGGAATGTCACAGAACCTATGGGCCCTCACAGAGAATTCAGGCCCAGCCATCTGCAGTTTTTAATTATGAATCAAATGCTCAAGGAGAAGGAATGCGTTTGACCTAGATTCCTACAGTGGGTCGTTTGCATTCTTCCTCTCACCTGCAAAGAAGGATGTTCCAAGCACCAAGAGCAAAGGAAAAAAGAGACCACAGCTAAGCCAACCCAAGAGACGGAGGATTAGAAGATGCATATCCTACATCTGCCACACTAACAAGACAACAACTGCTGGAGCTGGCTCTGGTCTGGTCACCCAGAGACCGTGGCATCACTTATCTCTGGCCCTCTCACTCCAGCTTAGGACCTTTGGCCTCACTAATCATTTCAGGTCAACTCATAAATCAACGGAGGCCCTTCTTTACAACCCACAATGCCAGCCCAGCTGGCAGAACCGGTGCCCAACAGCTCGTCACACCTTCAGTACCCTTTCCAGCTGGGATATCAACATCAACCAGATACTTCAGAGTTACTCGGGGATTGCACCTCTTCTGACTTCGTGTCAATGTATCTACAGGTAAAGCCTCCTAAATCATCCAAAAGGATATTCGTTAAGCAATCTGGCAAATATATCTGGATATGTAAATGCATGCTCTTCCTCCTGCCACTCTTTCATTTCACTGCTCCAAAACATTTGCTTCATTTCTTAAAAGCTAAAGGTTTTTTGGTTTCCTCTAATTTTCTTCTACAGCAGAAGTTAGCACATTTCCCTCCCTGACTTTAGTCACTAGTGGCCTCTGCTGGACACCTCTGTTACTCCAGACAATAAACTGTACTACAAAAAAACCCACGCAGACACATACAGCAGCTTCTATTTTCTGTTTCTGTTTTTACAAGACCTGTTTTCCCTTTGTTGGTCAGATGGCAGTGTCCATCTTTGCAAACTCCACATCTCACCTATGGAAAACTGCAAGGTCCTAATTAGAGATTTCACAAAGCATCCACCTGTGTCTGTAGCCATCTGATAATGTGGCTGACACAGACATATTCCAGAAAAAAAAAAACCAACCAACCACAAGACAAGGACCTATTCAATCATTTTTGAGAGAATGAAGCAAGCTCAGCTGAACAATGCTACTTTCATATTCCAGAATCTAAATGTCCACCTGTGGAAATAACCACGAACAGTTACTGCCCTTACAACCTGATATGAAATTATACGAAAAAGTATTAGCCGATTTTTAAAAACAGCAGGACCACTCCCTCCCAACAAATTTTTAAACTAAAGGACTCAAAGCCAGAAGGAACTTTTCATTTCAACAGAAGCCATTGAATCTCTCCTCCAAACGAAAAACAGGGTAACACCAACTTCACGAGACTTCTCCCAATAGATTTACTCACCCCTGGGATTTTCAGCAATTCGGCAACGAGGAGAGGCAGCTTCAGGGCAGCCACACTCCCAGTCACACCCACCAGGACACGGAATTTTTTCTGTGGCATAGATGAGCTCTTTGCTGCAGGAAACCCTGGTTCTGGCGGTGAGAACAGCTCCATACTCTGATCAAACTCTAAAAGCACAGAAAAACAAAGACACTTGACTAACAGTGCCTCTGAGCGAGGCTAGCACAGGAGGGCTCCAATGCCAAGGTATTCCCAAGGCACAGATTTAAGCCTGGACTACGCAGGACCCGGAGTAATTCAGTCTGAGGATGAACACTCAGACCTCAATCCACAAAGCTTTTGAGCACTGGCAGACCTTTAAGCATAGCAGTAGTCTACTCCTCCTGTTCAATTGCAATTTTCTGTCAGATACTGGTAAACAGAATGCTAAAAGCTGTGCAGGCAGGCCACAAAAGTATTCTGGTAAAGCCCATGACCCCCAAAACAAAGATACGCTCTCCCGCATTGAACATGGTCCAGAGTTTACAATAAATGTACCTTTCACACTGACTGCAGGGAAAACACGTGACCCCCAGCTGGGTCAGACTCCCTTCACATTCTCTGCTGAATAATAAACGCAGGGAGACACTTTAATAATTACAAATTTGGGGGCCCTGAGGTAAGCATTATCATCTTACTTCCTATCATATCATTACATATTTACAGCTGCACTAGGCATGACTCCCCAGCAGGCAGGGGATAAAAACACCAAAACAGCAAAGAAGTAGAACACAACAGCCACCAAGTGAAAACACCTTCTTAGGGACGTGAAAGTCAGAACTGCTCACTCCCCCAGCAGCATTGAGCGAAGTGATCCGCAGACCGATGCAGCCGCTTCAAAAGGCAGGCTGAGCCAGCAGCTGTATCGCAGGTCTCCTGCCTCCTCCCAGCTTCCCAGCGCCCCTGCCACACCGATAAATCACAAATGGCTGTTCTGGTGAGGAAAAGCATTCCCCGACAGAGGGGACGTGAACATCTCCGCTTCGTGAGTGATTAGCAAAGAGTAAATTCACTTTTTAAAAAAATCTGAAAAACGTGTTTCTAGACATTACACCAGGATTTACTAAGGCTTGTTCAATGTTAGCAACATCCTTGTTATTCGGAGGAGGTGACTTAGAAGCGTTGTGGGTAGAACAAAAAGGAAGAAAGAGACATTTACCAACTCAGCTTTTGGAGTGAGGGGGCTGGATTCCTGAGAGAGAAGAATTTACCCCTTCAGTCCTTCTGGGATGACTCAGCAGCGGGTTCAATTTAGGATCTTTCACGGGGTGATTCAGATCACGCCTGTGCAGCAGTTGGGCATCAGTCTGACCTCCGCACAACAGCCTCCGAGACACACGAGCACCCACCAGCTGCAGCACAACAGCAAGAACATGTTCTTTCTCCACGCTCTGCTTGGAATGAATGTGTTTAACTCAGGCCCCTGAGGTTTCTCACTGTGTTTATAAAAAATTGCTGGGATAGGAGCACATTATCAGCTTGAGCTTCGAGGCACTGATTAGCGAGAGTAATTAGAGGCAAGGAAATCCAGCATGCACATTGGCTAGGCAATTTCAACACTACTGCAACACTTCACATGTTTATCTGTATCTAATTAAAATTAAGTTAATGCCATCTCAGCATGGAAAACATTCACTTCCCTTATGATTGCTAAATGACAATTAACTCACCGAAGCATCCAGATCTTAAAGCCTGGGGAATAAGACACAGTTTTTTAATAGGCAGTTTTCAAAAAGGGCTATTAGTGATAAAACAAGAGCACGACGTTCTGGGCCGTGCTTTCCTCTTACCCAAACACAGCTCTGGGGAATCAGCTACAAAGCCATTAAAAAGCAAGCAGCTTACAGGCCTACTTAGTTATTTTACACAGATTTTTAAACAGCTGAAAACAGCTTCAGGAGGCCGCCGAGGCAGAGAACAGAACCGAGACATCCCAGGCATTTCCAAAACGTAAAGAAGCAGCGTTTATGTACCGGTAGAGACACGACAGAACCCGGTGAGGAGAGCGACAACCTCCTGAGCTCCAGCCCCGCCGCCCGCAGGGACTCGGCCGCGGCCTACTCTTGAGCGCAGGCCTCGGCC